ATAATAAAACACTAACATTAATTCATCTGGCAAGATGATTACGTATAATTTACGACAATAACAATTGCCATGCGACTAATTAGTAATTGTAAAAAGCATAATGTTTTACGTAGTGTGATGCGAATCGGTTGCTAATTATACAAGTGTAAAGAAACGATGTATTTGAATCTTCAGCAAAAAACGTTTTTGGCCTTTTTTATTGAGGGGTTTGGGCTATTATCAGATGCTAAGACCTCTATCACTTACGGCTGCCTGGTAGACAACGTCAATATATGTACGATTTGTTTATGTGTATTGATGTTAAATAAATAAATAAAATTTTCATTTATTATCAGGCCGTCTCAACTTCTTTTTAATTTTAGGTTTGGTATACAGTTCGTCCCTGACGTGGCAATAAAGCATTGCGGCCCCGAACTAGGATGTCCCTGACCCGGAAGTGTTATAACATTGATTTCATCTTTACAAAACAATTACAATACAATAATAAAGACATAATTACAGTCTAACACGCTACGTAATAAATATATCTCATTTTATAATAATTTTAGTTTACACTTTTATTAGTAATTGATGCTATTGTCATTTTAAGTATACGTAAAGACTAAATAACTAAAATAAATAGGTGGGATGTATTTATTTTTCTGGTTATCATAAAACACTAGGAGAGTTAAATAGAGGGATACTGAAATAAGGTTGCTTCTAATTATAGTTTTAGGGTTATCATAGAACACTAGAAGAGTTAAATAGAGGGATATTTAAGTAACGTTCTCTCTAATTATTTTTTTAGGGTTATCATAGAATACTAGGAGAATTAAATAGAGGGATACTTAGGTAACATTGCCTCGAATTATATTTTTAGGGTTATCATAGAATACTAGGAGAATTCATTAGAGGGATACTTAGGTAACGTTGCCTCGAATTATATTTTTAGGGTTATCATAGAATACTAGGAGAATTAATTAGAGGGATACTTAGGTAACGTTGCCTCTAATTATTTTTTTAGGGTTATCATAGAATACTAGGAGAATTAAATAGAGGGATACTTAGGTAACGTTGCTTCTAATTATATTTTCATGGTTATCATAGAACACTGGGAGAGTTGTTACTGAAGTAACGCTGCATCTATGACAAACGTGATAATCTAAAGATCAAAACATATCAATTGATTACAATCGTTAATTACATTACATACAGATAACGTGGATCTGATAAATGCAATTCATTATTTTCGTAATTCTATGTAAATATTTTATATACAGTTACGAAAATTATTTTATCAATATTTATGTATTAATCTTATTATTATGAATTATACATATTATTATAGCATATTATATACTAAAGTTGTTAAGGATCGCCAACGCGCACGTAACACCCCAGGTATCTCAGGCGTCTATAGGCTACGGTTATCATTTACCATCAAAGAAACCGTATGCCTGTTTATCACCATAGGAATATAACAAAAAGGAGGTCGACTTGACAGATTGCACTACTAGTAATGGGTCCATTACCCCGCGATATTAACAATATCCTCATCCTTGCCCTTACTAATACAAATCTTAATAATATTCTAAAAACGCGATAGTTTGTAAGTATGGATGATTGTTACACTTTCACGCAAAAACGTATTCTGATGAAACTTTACAGTAATATAGGTTATGCGTCAGAATACACATAGATCATATTTTATATTGAAATATATATATTAAAATTTAAGGCGGTTGAAACCGCGGTAACAGCTAGAACATAAAAAAAAACGAAGTAAGGGTAAGTAAGGATCTTTCGGCCTCTCATTCACGGCTTATTTTGTAACTCTACTGGAATGTGGACAAATTCATGTAATATTTTATAGGGTAAGTAAGGATCTTTCAGCCTCTCATTCACGGCTTATTTTGTAACACTACTGGAATGTCTCTACTGGACAAATTCATGTAATATTTTATGGGGTAAGTAAGGATCTTTCGGCCTCTCATTCACGGCATATTTTGTAACACTACTGTAATGTCCCTACTGGACAAATTCATGTAATATTTTATAGGGTAAGTAAGGATCTTTCGGCCTCTCATTCACGGTCTATTTTGTAACACTATCCCTACTGGACAATTCGGCTGGCTACATCAGTTCAGAACTGACAAGAATCACCATTTAATAACTAAAAATCAATTCATTATAATAATAATAATAATAATAAAAAATCAATTCATTATGTTACGTTACTATTTTTTAGATAACTGATACAAATACTAGATATTTTTTTTTTTTGTAAATACATACATATTATATATAATATATTCATGAATACAAATGTTTGCGCCGTGCGAGGAATCGCCGAAGAAATAATAATAAACGTTACTATTTTTTAATCTTAATATATAATCTTAGCATATATAATATATTCCAGCTGAAGAAATAATAATAAACAATATCAACACGGCACACATCAAGAACGAACGCTGGAGTAATAATTCACATATTAAAACTCGAACAGCCAATATACGCGCCAATTCGACACGGCGTCACTATATTTGAGTGTAAATATTGCCCGACCTTGGACTAGAAAGCAGTCGAGTGTTCCAACTGCTCAGTATTTTAGGTGTGACGAATTTAAATACAAACTGATAAGATATCGTGAAAGTAATTACACGATTAAAGATTAGAAAAAAGTCCTTTATAAACTTCTCAATATTGTTAGAAGCATATATGTATTACTAATATTATAAACGTGAAAGTTTATGAGTATGGTTGTATGTTTGTTACTCTTTCACGCAAAAACAACTGAACGGATTACATTCGGCCAAAAGCTGTGGGGAATCATTAGATGCACTATTGGCGGAGGAGCAATTGAAACGGGCAGAATATGCTACGGAATTAAAAAAAGAGTCAATTAAAAGATAGTGAGTTTTGCGAGTTACAAAACAAAGAAAATGTGTGGTCCCTCACTAACAGGCTCCACAAAGATATTGCCCCAAAGAGGTCGCCCACCACAATTAAAGTTGGCAACTACTATACCACAAATAGACAGGAAACAGCGCATGCGTTGCTAAAGCACTTTTACCCAGAAGACATACCGAACTCATTACCAATTCATATTAAAACTCGCCAAGCATCTTCTGAAGCCCTACACACTGATGATGACTTGCCTTTTTCCACTGAGGAGATAGTCGAACAGCTCCGTGATATGAATTAAAAGAAGCGCCTGGGATAGACGGTCTTACTTCAGATATCTGCCTGCAGTTCACTTTATTATTTCCACAACAGGTTACCGATATATATAATAGATGTTTGACTTTGCAAAGATTCCGTGATTACTGGAAAAAGGCCTACATTAAAATTATACCTAAACCGGAAAGATTATACCGATCATTTCGTCCTTTGGGATTGCTTCCGGTATTTGGGAAGTTGCTAGAAAAGCACAATACAAATTTACAATCACTTCAGTAGTTTAGAAGTTCATCGCGGATAAACAACGTGACATATAATTTTTATATATAAAAATTTAACGCGGGTAAAACCGCGAGCAAACGTAGTATATAATAGTTATCAGTAATATATTATTTAATTTTATATATATCAAGTTAGAACAGTGTTTCCCAACCACGCCCCACAGGTGGGCAATATGATAGTTAAGAATACTCGAGTAAGTATTATACTCGAAAATGGAGTCTTTATTCAAATATATTGTGGATTGTGAATTTCAATTTTTCTGTATGTAATATTGTTAGAACATACAAACACTGTTGTCTGTAAATAATTTATTTGATTTAATTAATTATTTAACAAACACACTCGTCCCCTCTTATGGGCTAGATGGGGTAGTCATTTTTTTTTTCATTTTTTGGTATTTTTTTTGCCCGGTTTTTAGTCGAACATACATCTATATAAGTATTAACGCACTAATAAACTTCTTTTGCATGGCTTTGGTTAAAAAAAGAAAATCAACAATGGTTTACGACAAACGCGTTGTGCGTCAACTAAAAAAAATAAGTCGAATTGTTAATTACTTTTTTTAAGGCAAAAGAACAAAACGAAATATCTATATTTTTATAATATCATGACTGTTTGCTGAGTATATCTGGACGGCGTACATTGTATGATAATTGTGTAATTAAAAAAACTACAACTACCAAAAATATACGTATAATGAAACAAGATGTCCTTCAGTGCGAAATTACAGTATTAAAATTGTGAAAAACGTGTAATTATACTAACATTATAAGTATGAAAGTATGTAAAGATGTTTGGACTTTTGTTACCCAATCATGCACACGGTTGGACGAATTTCTAAGGAATTTAGTACACAGATCCAATTTTCATTACACTTTTGAATCTAACTCACGTGGATGTAGCTACGACATACAGTTAATCCTACATGTAATATTATCTTATCTGTGGTCCTACTAACATTATAAACGCTAAAATTTGGGAGTATGGATGGATGTTTGTGAATATTTACAGTAATATAGCTTATACATCAGAATAACGCATAGGCTATTAATTTCACATTCAGCATATTGGTGCAGACACAGTTAAAGCGCTCAATTTGAAATCAGGCTTACCCTATCATCCACCATGATATGGTGGCACCACCTGTTTCGCACAGGCCGTTGTGCCATTTAATATTCACCCATTAAAAATAACTTTACTTTTAATTCTATGCTTGTTTTTTTTTTGTTTTTGGATAGAGACTAGTGTAGTCTATTACTGTGTTTGTTATAGGTTATGAGATGAATTTCTAGAAGTCCATACTCACGAGATTACCCTTTAAGTACTTACTTACTTAGCAATGATAATAATAAACAATGCTTTAAGTTTACAAATAAAGGAATGAATGAGTGAGTGAGTTAGCAATATCCGCAATAATTACGTAAGTATAGAATTTGAAAAAAAAAAGCAATAACAAGGTTGCATATTACAGTGCTATAGTAATCCATGGACCTTGACTCGACCTAATTCCAGTTTCTGAACGCATCGCAAGCGTTCATTTCATTCTGGTTGTCTGTTAAGACAAGAGTCGAGTTGAGTGGCGTTTACGAGTACGTTAGTGATTTAGTCATTCAACAGTGTGTAGTGTGAACGCGCGCGTTTTGCAATCCTCCCGCCAAAAGTTTTGACAGATAGTGCAGTACATCTTATTTATTTTTTTATTTGTGTAATAGGCGTAAGTAATTGATGATATAATGCCTTTTTAATTTAATTTAGGTGTGATCAGCTTAGGGCAGTACTTAGACAAATTAATAGATTGAACTAATGGAATTTTATTGATGTTTATGACGGTACATGAACATGTGCAGGAATATTTTTAGTGTTTCTGGTTAAAATTACATGGTTAATGAAATAATTTAAATAAGTATAATTAAATCTATGCTAAATGAAAAATACCTTTCATGCATTTTTATTCATACACCTGCATTTTTTTTAAATAAATTATATGTTATTTTTTTAAATAATATCGCGATAGATGTAGGTTATTTAGTTATTTAATAAAATTAAAAACTTTAAATCCTTACAGTTCATAATGTCATCTGTGGATACGAATAAAAACGGACCGACGCCGACATTGCTTGAAAAAGCACCATGGTAAGTTTTTTTTATTTATATTAAATAACTGTATATTTCCTAAATTAATAATTAATATTTAGTCAATTGCCTCAATCAATCTGAGTCTGCAAATAATATGATCACGAAAAAGTGTTGCCAGGTGTCCCGATTTGCGCGGGACGTCCCGATCAGGGGTCTGGGGACGCGTCCCGAGATGTACTTGATCGGGACGCTAAATGTCTGATTAAGACAAGGCTAGATAAGACTCACTTGTTGTACTTGTTATGTAAAATTAAATACATATTTAATTTAGGTAATTAATATAATAATAATACAAATAATCTCAGGACAGTTCACACATTCGTATGTAGTTCGAAGTTAGAAGTTAAATTCCACGAGGACAAATTCGCGGGAATAGCTACTTTGACAATATAGTTTATATTTTAGATAATCCATCAAATCTATACTCATTTTTATACATTAAAATATACTTTTTTAAATATATCTATGTATAATCATGGACATAATAATCGGATACGAACTCAATAGGCGGCTATTAACGTGACGTGTGGCTGAACAATTCCCAACCGGTAATTTATTTTATAACTATCGGATATCCACATCTGAATTTACATTTACAGTTATGTACATATTGTACTATTATATGTACGTAAATATCGCAATATAAATTTAAAAAGTATACGTGGCCTATTAGTTTCTAACCCGACGTTGGCTTAAAAGTTGTGAGTTCGGATCTGTAAAAAACATAAACAAAAAAAAATATACAACTTCAATTTCTTGCGAGTTCTTCTCAGCGGAGTACTGACAAACTGGACAGTTAGAAGACAGTAAGAAATATAACAGTTGAGTTCCTTGCCAGTTCTTCACAATGACGTAGCTAGCCGAACTGAACGGTAGATTCACTAACTTCTAAGATAACAGTGGTAAAAGTGTATTACAGAATATTAATTTAAAATAATAAATCAGTTATCTAGTACCCATAACACAAGTATTAGCTAGCTTTACTTGGGTCTAGATTGCGCTGTGTGAATTGTAAAAAACTAAAAAAAATAAAAGCCTATTGAAAAAAATCATAATTCAAAAATAGAATGTCAAATTTACTTTGAAGATACAGTCATAATAGACCTATTACGTTATTCACAAATTTAAAAATACGTATATCAGATCTATAGTAAAAGCAATTTAGTGAAAAAAAATCATAAATCAAAAATACAACGTAGCTGTAGGCTCAGGCAATGTTAGACGTCATCAGTAGGAACAAAATAATTGTTGTATGAAGCTGTGATACCTATAATTTTTTTAAGAGGACGTATTTTCAAGTAATTGTTGCTACGTGTAATCTAAATATATATAACTCAAACGTGACTGACTGACATAGTGATCTATCAATGCACAGCCCAAACCACTCGACGGATCGGGCTGAATTTTGGCATGCAGGTAGATGTTATGACATAGGCGTCCGCTAAGAAGGATTTTGGATTAATTCTACCCCCAAGGGGATGAAAGTTTATATGAAACTTAGTCAATTTTAAACCGATCGGTCTGAGACTATGCATGCATAAAGCTACTTTGACGTAGGTTTTTGATAAATTCCACCTCTAAGGGGATAAAATAACGCGAGCGAAGCCGCGGGCAAAAGCTAGTAATAAATTTATTTGAATGATTTCGCAGTCGCTACTCCATTAGAGCAAAACATTTTTTGTGAGAATTGTGTATGATTTTCTTTTTTACATAGATTCAATTATGGTTTAGTTGTCATGAGGGAAGTGCCAACTCCTAAAAAACATAGTATTAATTGCTTTGTGCTCTAAATAATAGGTGACAATGCGAGTATGTGTGGCGATGAGTGGAAAAGCATGTAACATTACGTGTAGCTATGAATGCAAAAGCAATTTTTCAATCAGCTACTACCTGTGAGTACAACTTCGACGACCTCGGTGATCTGTGTTAGCACACTGTTTACTGTTGATTCAATGAATCCTGGTAGTTACATTGAATCAACAGTAATGAACCCTGATGGTTCAATTAGACTGTTTTCCTAACTGTAATAAGTATGTACAGCAGTAACCGTCAACTTTTGAGATTAGCGCTCACCAACTCAGACATAAAACTAGCGATCTTTATTTTGGTTTCTATTATGTTGATAATCTCCTATCACCAAAAGCTTTATTTTTAATTATATATAATATATATTATATACGCATACGCATAAGTAAGTAAGGTATGGATAGATGTTTGTTACATCTTCACGCAAAAACTACTGAATTGATTTTAATCAAACTTGACAATAATATTTCTTATATATCTGATTAATACATAGACTATAAATTTCATATGGATAAAACTGCATGTACAGCTAGTATTTTATATACAGACAGCAATCAATTCCATATTATTATAATTGTAGTAAGTATATGTTAAAAAAATTGGCGCTAATACCATACAATATTGGCAGAGGTTTGGCAGCGATGTAAGTGTTGTTCAATAAGTATTAACGAATATAGGTATATACTAGCTGTCCCGTCAAACGTTGTTTTGCTATATAAATTTAGGTACTTATATCGCTATTTAAATAGGGGTTGGTGGTAGAAGGGTTAACATTTAGGGTTTACAAAGGTTAACAAATACCTACAATAATTTTAATGCTACATTATAAAAAAAATGTTTGTTCAAAAAATGAAAACAATGGTGGACAAAAATGATAAGTGTGGACAACCCTTATCGCTTAGGGGTATGAAAAAGAGATAGTAGCCGATGCTCAGACCTATTGAATATGCATATAAAATATCATAAAAATCGGTCCACCCGTTTCGGAGGAGTATAGTAACTAACATTGTGATAGGAGAATTTGATATATAAGATACCTGTAGAGAGTTTATAGAAAATCATATATATATTAAGAGAACTGCAGTCGTACATGCCTAAAACATACATTTTACGTTAGTGGTTAAAAACACATGCCGCATTCCTATCATAATCACAACATGTTTTGGAAACGTTATTAATGTCTTTTATCCTGAGGAGATAAAAACCATCGCTTCTAAGAATATCCTTCAATTCTTGTCCCTCACGGATCTAGGTAGCAAACTTTTAGCGCAATAGGTCTAAGTAGGTCGTAGTGTCACAGCACCTGACAAAACCTTGTACCAGGAGGGAAGGGTATTGTTAGTAATGTGGACTAATGATCCCATTGCTAGCAATGTACCATGTCAGGTTGACCTCCACGCGGTTCCTCCTGGAAACCAACGTGATAAATTCCTGGTGAATTTGTCACGATGGGCTAACTGACCTGACCTCATGCTCATGTTATCATCCTCCACTGGTGCCCCGCCAGCGTAACTCGTTAGCACAAGCTGAGGCATCATTCCGTTATCATCCATACAAATAAAAAAATCCAAAAACCCCATAAAAAAAACATTTAATATATTAAAATTTCTAACATTAAATTTTCGATAGATTCCTTCAAAGTATAATTAGAAAAGCAAACAAGGTTTTTTTTTATGGATGATCATTTTATTTGTATTTAATTATTTACTTCAAGTTACTAATGGCCCACGTTATAAATACCTTATAGATTATGGAATGATGCATCCGCTTGCGATAACAATTTACGCTGGCAGGGCTCCAGTGGAAGATGATAAGACGAGCGTGAGGTCAGGTCAGTTGGCCCATCGTTTCCAAATTCATCAGTAATTTATCGCGACGGTTTCCAGGGGGAGCCGGTGTCCAACCTTAGTACATTGTTAGCGATACGCTAATGCACTTCCATGTAGTTCCATTAGTTAAATCATGATTCTGACTCTTCTGCATGACACGTTCATGCCAAACTAATATGTTACTTTTAACTTCTCTATAACTAGGGAAACTTACAAACTACTTTATATACTCATTCCATAATTTTTTATTCCTGATCGCGGCACACATTTATCTCAACAATCGCATCTCTGGCACATTTACAAGTCTTTCATTCATCTCTTTTACGGTCCAACATTCAGATTCATACATTTGTCTTTAGTTTAAGGGCGTATTCCAATTTCAAAATAAATAAAATTACATGCAGTACGGAACCAGATATAATTTCATCTCGCTTTTTTTTCTCAATATTACTCATTTTTATTGGTGATAAAGTAGCCGGTAACGTTACAGTAGATAAGTTCGTGTCGGTGAGGTCACGCATCTCGGAATATTCATTAGATTACGATAACGTGTCGTGAATATTGTTATGTTGAGTGTTACAAAAGAGATTATTATACATTCTAAAAATAGCTATATAATATAAATAGTTTACATATAAATCAATGGGTATTGTTATTATTAATTAATAAAACATTATTAATAAAAAAATTGGGTTGTGTGTTTGTTTTACATATATAAATACTAGCAGACCTGGCTACGCGTTGCTGTGGCTAAGGTTCAAATTAACTTGAATAAAATAATATTGCGCCTATAAATTGAGACGTATGCTATCCTATCTTTCAAGAATGAAATCGGTCCAAATTGAACACAATGTGCAAATCAAATTTGCAATGGGTTCAGTTCGGAATCCATCGCGGACAAATAACGTGACACATAATTTTTATATATAAAGATTAGTATATTCAAAATTCTTGATACCATAATTGAAAAACACAGTAAAAAGTAAACACACTATCCTATAACATTTTCTAGGTTTGCTGGAATAAATCTCTTAAGCTCGCCCAATAAGCTCGCTCTAAGAAATAAATATATAAATAAATTTAATGTACATATTCAATTTATTTATATATTTATTTCTTTTTTCCTATGTATGTGTACAATAAAGAATAAAGAAATAAAAAGGTTATAAAGTAGCGCATCGTGTAGACAAAAATCTCCCAGACCAATACAAAACAATCATCTCTCTCTTGAATACAAATAATAATAATAATAATAATAATTTCAGGACAATTCACACAGCACCATCTAGACCCAAGTTAAGCTAGCTAAAGCTTGTGTTATGGGTACTAGATAACTGATACATATACATAGATATATTTTTT